CGGGGTCATGGGATCGAGCCCCACGTTGGGCTCCATGCTGAGCATGGGGCCTGCTTAGGATTCTCTCTCTCTCTCTGCCCTTCTCCCCTGCTCACACTCGCTCTCACTCTCTCTCTCTAAAAAATGAATGAATGAATGAATGAAATAGTTCTACTTTGGGGTGCCTGACTGGCTCAGTCAGTAGAGCATGCAACTCTCGATCTCAGGGTCATGAGTTCAAGCCCCACAATGGGCATGGAGCCTACTTAAAATAAAGCTTTTTTTTTTTTTTAATGTAAATAAATAAAATAAAAGGTGTCGTATTTTGGAGCACCTGGCTGGCTCACTCGGTGGCGTATGCAACTCTTGATTTTGGGGTTGTGTATTGGAGCCCCACGTTGGGTGTGAGTAGAGCTTACTTAAAAAAATAAATAAAATGTGGGTGCCGGGGTGGCTTAGTCGGTCAAGTGTCCAACTCTTGATTTTGGCTGAGGTCACGATCTGACAGTGGGCTCTGCACTGGGTGCGGAGCCCGCTTGAGATTCTCTCTCCCTCTCCCTCTGCCCCTCTCCCCACTTGCGTTTTCTCTCTCGCTCAAAAAAAGAAATAAAATACATTATAAAATTTCTGAACGTAAAAGGTGTCATGTGTTATGCAGTTCCATAGTAAGAGAATTTTCAGTTATATGTAAAGAGAGGGAGGGGAGCCTGGGTGGCTCAGTCGGTTAAGTGACTGGCTCTTCATTTGAGCTCAGGTCACGATCTTGAGGTTCATGAGTTCAAGGCCCACATCAGGATCCGAGCTGACAGTGCGGAGCCTGCTTGAGATTCTCTCTCTCTCCCTCTCTCTCTGCCCTTCCTGTGCGTGCTTACGTTCTCTCTCAAAATAAGTAAAATAAACTTTAAAAATTTTTTAAAGAGAGAGAGAGAGGCTGACTTGTTTCAGAACCAGAAGCCTCTCTGATTCTCTCCCTATTTGTGTCTCTGCCTTGGGGCTTCTGAACCCTCCACTGTCTGTCCCCCTCTGGGTAACCCCCAAGAGGAAGGATCTGTTGGAGGGGGGTTACTGCTTTCTGCCGCAAAGGCCATACGGAAAGGGCGGCCTTGATTTAGACACAGGTGCCAGACCCGGTCAGCACCCCTGGCCTGGAGCACGGGGACCCACCCACGAGGTAACCTGTGGTTTCCGTGAAGAAGCGCCTGCAGCTACTTTCCTCTATAGCTGGCCGTGGGGCCTGTCTGGTCCCGAGGCTTCTCCCTCCTGTGAAAGCCTAGGACTTTTTGGAGCCCCTACTACACCAGGCTTTGTGAGCAATTCAAAGAAGCGTGAGCTCTTGTCCCTGGCCTCACGGCACCTGTGAAAACAAAATACTCCTGCCCCCCTGTTCCCTCTACTTCTGACTCACAGCCCCCTTGTTATTCCTCTGAAGCAATGCTTGTGCCTCAGGGCCTTTGCAGGTGACTGCTCTAATGTGCTTCCCTCTGATGACAACACCCACCCCCCCCCCACCGTCCTCTTCCCCTGCCCCGCCTCACTGCTGTCCTGACACTGAACACCCTGTCTACTCTACTTCTCTATTTGCTTTATTGTCACTCTGCCACTTTAGGCTGTGTGCTCAATGGGGGCAGGGGTTTTTATCCGTTTTGTCCTTGCTGTGTCCCCAGTCCCCGGTGGCTAAGTGAGGGCTCTAGGTGCTTCGAGGAGGCTGAGAGCACTGGGGACCAATGGGAGGAGACAGATACTTCCCAATTGTCAAGTAGGGAAAATTTGGATACCTTTGCCCTTCTGGCCTGGAGCTGCAAGCCTGGAGGGCCCAGAGGAGGAGTGGCCTTGCTATGAACAGCAGCCTGTGTTCCGCTCCAGGGCCCTGGCCTTAGCTGCCTGAGTCTCTGCAGTAACCTATGGAGAGGTCGGTTAGTTCTGTCTCCAAGGAGGTGCCAGCTGTTGCCAGGATGCCCCCGGCAGCTGCACACCATTTCCCTGTGTGTGCGGTCACTGCCCAGCTCTTGGGACCTGTGAGGAGGAAGGCTTATGGCCCCCCTGCCTGTTGGGGGCTATGTCCCCCCGGGCACGATGGGAAGGTAGGCCCGGGACCATACGCTATCAGGATTAACAGTCCCGTCCCCTGGATTCCTGGGCCAGGCCCAAGAAAAGGCAACGCAAGGCTCTCGGGCCAACCATCCCATCCATTTTCCACCGTGTGCTGTTCTGGAGGCCGTCTGTCCTGAACCCGCCTCCCGCCCCTTCCCACCCCACCCCCGCCCATCATAACCCTAGAGTCCCCAGGCTCTTTACAGAATCTTCCCACCGCTTCAGCCCGGGAGCCTCTGCTTCCCCTGGATACCCCCAGCGGGCACTGTTCACTCTCCCACACCCCAGGACCCTCAGACTCGGCCTCCCCCCTTGCTCCCCATCACCATTTCCAGAGCATTCCTTGTGTAAAAGCCCTGCCCCCCGAGAGCTCTAAGGATCAAGGGAGTCAAGTCCTCTGACAGGAGAGGACCAAAGTGCACAACCGTGGGCTCTAGACTGAAACAGACAAGCAAGTCAAGACAGAAACGGGCTCCTGGGGAGAAACAGAGGCATCAAGGATGGCCATGCTCACGGAGGCCAAGAATGCAGCCTCGAGGGGAGAGATGAGGGAGAGATGGGGGGTGGTGATGGAGGTCCAAAAGGGACGCTCGTGTTGGAGAGGCCCCGGGGTACACAGCTCTGGGTGTGAGATGACGAGGTGCAGGTGTGGCCCTGAGAGGGGCTGCTGCCATCAGCGCGGGACACGGAAGGAGGGCAGTTTCGGGGGAAGGAGCGGACTGTGCCAGAGAAGAAGGCCAAATGCCTCGTGGCTCATTTTCTCGCCCCCGTTATTGAGATGTAATTAACATGCCATACAATTCAGCCTTTTAAAGGGTACAATTCAGCGGTTTTTAATATATTTGCAAAATGGTGCAACCGTCGCCACTAAGTCCAAAACGTTGTCATCGCCCCAGAAAGAAACCCTGGACTCCCCATCCCTCCCCCCACCCAGCCCCTGGCACCTACACCTCTTTCTGTTCCCATAGATGTGCCTCTGGGGGACATTTCTCATAAACGGAATCATTCAGCATGTGGCCTTTTGTGTCTGGCCTCTTTCGCTCAGCATAGCACTTTCGAGGTTCAGCCACATTGTGGGATGAGTCAGTGCCTCACTGCTTTTCGTGACTGAATAATATTCATATGCATACGTACGTACATACACCGCAGTTTCTTTTCTACCCCTCCGCTGATGGACGTTTGGGTTGTTTGCACCCTTTGGTGATTGTGAATAACGTTGCCGCGATCATTTGTATACAGGTTTCCGTGTGAACGGATACTTTTGTTTCTCCTGGATACATGCCCAGGCATGGGATTGCTGAGTTTTCCGGTAACTCTATGTTGAACTTTTTGAGGAAGCGCCGAACTGTCTTCCAGGCCGGGCCATTTTACAGCCCTCACAGCGGTGTGTGAGCCCATCTTTTCTCTTCCTCACCAACACCTGTTATCATTTCTTTCTAATTCTAGCCGTCCTAGGGCATGTGAAGTGGTATCTCACTTTGGTTGTTTTTTTTTTTTTTTTTTTTTTAGTTTATTTATTTTTGAGAGAGACAGAGACAGCGTGAGTGGGGGAGGAGCAGAGAGAGGGGAAAGGAGGGAGAATCCCAAGCAGGCCCCACGCTGTCAGCACGGAGCCCAATGCAGGGCCTGAACCCACAAACCCGTGAGATCATGACTTCAGCCGAAACCAAGACGAAGCCAGCCAGGTGCCCTTAGCTGTGCTTTTGATTTCTATGTCTCTGGCGACTAATCACGTTGAGCATCTTTTCACATGCTTATTGGCCGTTTGTAGATCTAAGAAATACAGTAGAAATGCCAATTCAGATCTTTTGCCCATTGTCTAACTGGGTTCTCTTTGTTTTTGAATTTAAAAAGTCCTTTGCAGGGGCGCCTGGGTGGCTCAGTCGGTTAAGCATCCGACTTCGGCTCAGGTCACGATCTCACAGTCCTTGGGTTCGAGCCCCGCGTCGGGCTCTGTGCTGACAGCTCAGAGCCCAGAGCCTGCTTCGGATTCTGTGTCTCCCTCTTTCTCTGCCCCTCCCCTGCTCACACTCTGTCTCTCTCAAAAATAAATAAAACATTAAAAAATACATTAAAAAAAAGAAAAAGTTCTTTACATATTCTGGATATGAGACCCTTATCAGATACGTGATTTGTGAATATGTTCTCTCAGTCTATAGGTTGTCTCTGCACTTTTTTTGTTTTCTTTCAGTGCCCAAAAGGTTTTAATTTTGATGAAGCTCATTTATCTGTTTTCCTTTTGTTGTCTGTATTTTTGGTGTCATATTTAAGGAGCCAGACCTAATCCCAGGTCACAAAGACTTAACGCCTGCTTTCTCCTGAGAGTTTTACAGTCTCAGCACGTACGTGCAGGCCAGTGCTCCACTTTGAGTTAGTTTTTGTGTGTGGTGCAAAGCAGGGGTCATTCTCTGGCGAGTGGGTACCCACCTGTCCCGCACCGTCTGCCAGGGAGACTTGTCTTTCCCCTAGTAGGTCAGTTTTGATTCTCCACTGTCCCCTCCCTTCTTCCCACTGTGCTCCATAGACTCAGAGGCAGTGAAGAAGGCCGCCTTGGAGATGCGGGAAGGGGAGCTCGTGAGCGAACGCACAGAAGCCTTCACCATTGCCCGCAACCTCCTCACCGCTGCCGCGGATGCCATCGAGCGGATCATGTCGTCCTACAAGGAGGTACCCCCCCATCCCAGCCGCGCGCCCCTCTCCGCTGTGCCGCCCACCCCACCCCCCAGCCGGCAGGGTCTGAGCCAGCGTCACCCTCCCCACAGGTGACAGAGCTGGCCGGCTACACGGCCCGAGTACACGAGATGTTCCAGGTATTCGAAGATGTCCAACACTGCCGTTTCAAGAGGCCTGGCGAGCTGGAGAGCACTCAGGCAGGAGCCGGGGCTGTGGCGCGCTCTGGTGTCCATGTAGAGGGGCCCCTGCAGATCCGAGGTAAGGGCACCCTCCCTGCAGACACCCCCCCCCCACCCAGAGGGCAGCATCTTCAAGCTGCGCCCCAGGGAGGGACTTCCCCCAGACTGCTGTGGGGCCCCCCCCCCCGCAGCCTTCTTTCCCAGAGCAGTAACCGCTGGCCAACCCCTCGCTTGCCGGCTCCTTCCCAGTGCCTTGGCTGAGATTTCTGTTATTTCTCTTTGCAAAAGAGGGGGACGCGGTCCCCGAGTAGAGGGGACCACTCCCCCGTGTGGGCAGCAAGAGAAAGTTCAAGACTACAGCAGAGGCCACGATGCTGTGGAAGAGGGGCCCAAGCGTTGAAGCCGCCATTAAAATGGTAGCAAGAGCAGAGGGTTTTACGGAACAAGGCTGGACTCCGTGCCTCAGGTTCCAGAAGCCACAGAACTGACTTTGCCCCTCCCCTGCCCAGAGCTCGGCACCAGACACTGGTTGGGGGTGGACTTCCGGAAGACCCAGCATATTCCCAAGGGGGCCCCGGACCACACACTGGCATGCTGTGAGCGGGTTGGGGGGCACATGGAATCCACCAGAAGTCAGAGGGAGTGCTACTGCTCTCTCCATTCCTTCGTTGCATTCTCTCTCCAGGCCAAGTGGTAGATGTGGAACAGGGAATTATTTGTGAGAACATCCCCATCATCACGCCCACGGGAGAGGTGGTGGTGTCCAGCCTCAACATCCGGGTAAGTCATGTGGGGGACAGGTGGGGGGATGCCTGGCCCAGAAGTGTGGGCTGGGCTGGGCTGAGCTACCCTGGGCCTCCTTCTGCATCTATGAGCCCCCAGTCCTTGGTGTCTGGCCTGCCGGGCCTGCATATGTTGTCAGTCCCCGGATGTACTTAGCAGGCGGGCTAAGGTCAAGTTGAGAGGCCAGCGTGTCCCTGACTATTGGCTCTGACGCAGTGGAGTCAGAGCTCATCAAAGCGACTAGCAACTATCAGGAGTGGCCGAGGGTCACCCGAGGGCTCCTGGCCCCATCCTTGCCACCCTCCCCGGCTCCATCCCTGAGAAGCCTGGGACTTGGGGACTCTGGCTCAAGTCCAACTATGGTAGAATAGATTGCTCCAGTGACCTGGGCTTGGGGTCCCCCCATCTGCTTCGAGAAGCCCCCAGTGCAGGTGTGTGCGGACTTCAGCCTGGCCTGCTGGGAGGGCTCTCAGCCACTACAGAGGCTATCTGGTGGCCAACATCCACCAGTCACCTTGTCCCTAGCCAGAGCTTTGGACAGGGTCAGGGAATGATAGGATGAAGGAGAGACCTGTTGGCAGGGGTGGGGGCAGGGGGTCAGGATGAGAAGTGAGAGGGAGTCATTCATTCATTCATTCATTTTTTCATTCGTTCAACCAATATTCCCTAAGCCCTGGGCTGGGCACTGGGAACTAGAGGTAAATTGGAGGGGCCCTGCCCTCTGGGAGGCCCCACTCTGGGCCCCAAAAGTATTACAAAGGTCCCCAGTTAGCTGCCCAGGATCCCGTGCGGGCCACAGTAAGAGTAGTCCCATCCCTGTGGTGCACGGAGGTCACCTGAAGCTTCACCCAGGAGCCTCGGGACAGGTGGGCTGCATGATGAAGGCCTCCTCCTAGGGCAGGCAGAAAGAAGGCCATGAAGTGGCAGGAGCACAGAACTAAGGGATCTCAGGGCCGGGTCCCGTAGAGGCCTCGTGCACCTGGCCACAGAGCCGGATCGGCAGGAGCCATGGCCGGGCCGGGGGTAAGTGAGAAGAGGCAAGTGCCTGGGGCTCCTTTCCTTGGCCTGCCGGGAGGGCCCTGAGAGCCAGTTGGAGGCGGGCACATTTCGTCACCCCAGGCAGCACAGGATCGTGGTGTGATCCCCATCGCCCCTGCCTGTGGTCACTCTTGCGGCATGGCAGGAAGCCACCGATGATTGGTTTGCCCAAGGCAAATGATTTCCAGGCAGGCCCAGTCCCAGTGACAGCCAAGTAGGCCAAGACTGGGGGCCCTGGCGAGCCAGGGCGCAGCTGGTTAGAGAGCATGGCCAGGCGAGAAGGGGTGACCGTGGCGGTGGGGGGGGGAAGAGCAGGGGTGGGTGGCTAAGCAGAAGCTGGGCTCCGGGACTAGAAGACGTTGGGGAAGAGAAGGAAGCGGTTCCCAGTCGTGATCGCCCAGGCGCAGAAGTGGGACAGGGGCAGGGAAGGGGACCAGAGAGGCAGCCTGGCGCTGGCTGGGGGCCGGGCCAGGCCTGCCGGACTGCTGGGTGCACATTGATGGGCCCAGGCCCCTCTAGAGAGACTTTATAGTGTAACAGAGGACCACAGAGTGAGGGGCTCAAACTACAGGAGTGGATTCTGGAGGCCGGAAGTCCAGATCAGGGTGTCTGGTAGGTGAGGGAGAGTCTGTCTATCCCAGGCCATCGGCGGTGTTCCCGGCCTTGGCTTCACGTCAAACTGTGCCTTCATCTTGACATGGTGTTCTTCCTGTGTGCACGTCTCTGCGTCCGAATGTCCCCCGTGTGATAAGGATACCAGTCACGTGGGATGAGGGGCCCACCCCACTCCAGGATGACCTCATCTAAATTTAATTAATTATATTTGCAAAGACTCTGTTTCCAAATAAGGTCACATTCTGAGTGAGGTCTTGGGGGGTAGGACTCCAACATGTGCATTTGGAGGGACCCCGCTCAACCCACAACGCCAGCACACTCAGGCCACCTAGGGACTTACGTGGGTCAGCAGGAGAGCGGTGCCACCATCAGTCACGCTCTGAGAGACTGGAAGTTAACGTGGCCTTGGGCGGGGGTGGGGGGTTGTAGGTTGGGAGCTGTGCCCGGGTGCCCTGGCTTCATGCCCTGTACTCTCCCCTGCCTCCCGAGGACGGTGGTCTCCCTGCCATTTGACCCCCTCTTTCCTGCACACGCACCCCCAGGCTACCCCCCCCCAGCCCGCAGCAGGCGTTTCTATAAGACCAGCAGGCATCATGGAATCAGGTGACCGGGGAGCCTGAGGCCTTGACACTGAGGCCGGGGGTCACAGAGGCATCTTCCCAGCACCCTAGGACCCGCAGGGACAGTGAGAGGGCCACGGAGGCAGGAGGACTGGCCAGGCATGAGGAACAGAGTTGGGAGTTTGTACCGTCCACCTAGAACTCGAAGGAAACTGCTTTTCCCAGGACAGTCCCTCACGGGAAAGCAAGGGACAGCGACCCTACTAGGACAGCGAGCACACGGGGACTCCTAGCGAGGCAGGACGGCATGGCAGAGAGGGCGACGTGGACTTTCTGAGGCCTTCTTCATGCTGGCCCCATGCTCTCCGGCACATGAAAGGAGCTTAGGGGACAGGCCGGGACCCAAAACAGGCATCGGGTTAGGGCTCTGGGCGCTGGACCTCATGCCTCGGGCCCTTGGCTGGGGGAGCCCCTGAGTGTGGGCCACGGTCAGAGGAGGGAGGGCCCCCGCGGCCCTGCCTCTGCCGGGGGCCCCACGCCGCGCCGCTGCCCCCACAGGTGGAAGAAGGCATGCACCTGCTCATCACGGGCCCCAACGGCTGCGGCAAGAGTTCTCTGTTCCGGATCCTCGGCGGGCTGTGGCCCGCATACGGCGGCGTGCTGTACAAGCCCCCACCCCAGCGCATGTTCTACATCCCTCAGAGGTGAGGGGGAAGGGGGCCTGGCGCCCAGCTCTGCCCCTGCGCCCCCCTCCTGTGGGACCCACCGCCCAGGAGCCAGCAGAGCTTGGGGCATCGGGAGAGGATGGCAACATTCTGCCCCGGAGTCCAAGGGCCACAGCGCCTCCGCCCACTGCCCCGCCCTCGCCTGCCCGCTGGGCGACTCCACCGCATGTGACTGTGTGCGCACAGAAGGGGGGGGACCGTGTGTCTGTGGGCGAGTGGGTGTGTGTCTGTGCACGTGCGTGAGCGTGCCAGATGTGTGAGCACGCACTTATGCACGCGGGGGGACTGTGCACAGCGCGTGGTGCGCGTGCATGGGGGGGGGCACGGTGTGAGCACTGCCCGGACCACTTTGTGGAAGGGCCTGTGGGCTTCGAGTCAGCCCCGAGTCCAGCAGCCAGCGCCCTTGACAGGCCGTCGGTGGGGGTGGGGGCAGAGCCCACTCTGGCACAGGCTGTTGGTGGGGGGAGGGGGTGACAGGACCCACTAGGGCACAGGCCGTCGGTGGGAGGGGGCGGGGAACACGGTCAACCCTGCCCTTAGCAGACGTGAAGCTTCCCCACAGGCCCTACATGTCCGTGGGCTCCTTGCGAGACCAGGTGATCTACCCAGACTCTGTGGAAGACATGCGAAGGAAAGGCTATTCGGAGCAGCACCTGGAGGCCATTCTGGACATCGTGCACCTGAACCACATACTGCAGCGGGAAGGGGGTAAGGGAGGGGGTGGCCCGTCCCACCTATCAGCGCCAGGGAGTGAGCCACCTATCAATTGCCCTTTGGCCCAAGACTGCCAACCGGCTGCCACCCCCACCCCTGCCTCCCTCTCGCCCCTGAGGGATACAGATAGTCCCTGCATCCGGGAGTCCAAAGTGCTAGCGCCCTGGAACGCCCCAGCTGGTGGGCGGAAGTCATGAGGCAAGGGCAGCCAGGCACAGCGGGAAGCGTGCGATGGGGGTGCTCACTTTTGGCCCGGATCACCTTGTTCAGGCCGTCGGGCTCAGGGGCAGGGAGGCTCCTGTGGGCCAGGCAGGGAGCCCAGGCTTTCCCTGACAGTGAAGGAAGCCTTTGGAAGGCTCGAGGCAGGGAAGTGACAGGTCTAGCGAGAGGACAGAGCACGGGTGGAACGTGTGCCCAGGGTGTCCGTGCAGAGCGCCTCTAGCACAGGGAGCAGGACACAGCCAGAGGGGACGCTTGCATTTCCGTCTTGAGCCTGGGAGGCGCCATCCCCTGGGAAGGAGACAGCAGGAGTGGAGGGACAAGCTGGTAGCCCAGGGCTGCGGAGCTGCTGGAGGAAAGGGAGGTGGGGCTGGGCTCAATTTTCTTCCTGAAATCTGAGAGCCTGGGCTGCGCTTCCTGCCTCGTCACTTGGGGACAGCTTGGCTGTAAGCAGTGACCTCACCTCTCGAGACTCTTCCCCTGCAAAAGGGGACAGCTCCCTTAGCACCAGCCTGACACAAAATCCGTCTTGTAAGGACTCATAGCAGGTGTTCAGGGCACAGCAGATGATTCATGAGGCTTCTTCCCAGATGTCGTCGCCTGTGTCACAAAGAGGGCTGGAGGTGGTGGATTTGGGGGGGGGGCGGCTCCTCCTGGGCCTACCCTGGTGGCTGTGGTCCCCCCAGGCTTCATCCCCGGCTTCCCTGTGTCCTGGTCAGCCCTCTTCTGTTCCAGCGGCCCCGCGCCGGGGGTGCACCCCTCCTCCTGTCTTCTCTGGCACCCCTGAGTGCGCTGGGCCCCTGAGGCCTGCCGTCACAACCTATTAGCACTGAGTTCAGCTGTGAGCAGCAGAACCCCCTTCCCCGAACGAGCATCAGCAAGATCGTTCACAAGTTTACCTTACCGTGACATAACAGTCCTGAGGAAAGCAGGCCACCACTGATGGAGGCAGCCCTGCGCTGTGAAAGGTCCCTCAGGTCGCTCAGCTATGTTAGCCTCCGCCACTGAAGCCACCTCGTGGTCCAAAGATGGCTTCTCCGGCTACCACATAACATCCCAGGCCGTGGCTTGGAGAAGGGGGGGAAGGGCCAAGGGCACATGCCATGTGTCTTTTAAAGAAAGTTCCAGAAGCTGCCACATGTGTAACACACTTACACGCGTCGGCCAGAAATCAGTCACCCGGTCGCCCCTCACCTCCGGGCAAGCTACGGCCTCAAGGCAAGGTATGGAGTAGAGGCTTTCTTGTGGCTGGGCATGCGCCCCGACAAAACTTCGAGTCCCGAGGGAGGACCGAGTGGAGGTAGTTGCTTCTGCTCAGACTCGCTAAGGCACTGGCGACAGGCAGTGACAAACACCCAGTCCCCGTGGGTGAGGACCCTTCAGGAGACGCTGCTGCAGTCATCCGTGGGGCTGTGCCACGACCGTCTGCACAATTCTGATCACGTCTTTTTGGGCTATTAAAGTCTTACCTCCAGGTAGGTAAGTAGACAGGACACGCGTACCCAGTGGCCAGCCTTCTCCAAAGTCAAACGTGCCACCGTATTCCACTCTCACTAGCCTCTCCAGCCCCTCCCACGTCCCCCGGGTCTGGGCCCCTGCTGATGCCCAGCCCTTGCTGAATCCAGCAGAACCCCCTTGTGCCCCGCCCAGGTTGGGAAGCCGTGTGTGACTGGAAGGATGTGCTGTCGGGGGGTGAGAAGCAGAGAATCGGGATGGCGCGCATGTTCTACCACAGGTGAGCTGGCCTGTCTGCGGCGCTCGGGCTCCCTCCCGCACCGAGCCAGCGGCAGAGCCGAAAGGGCAGCCTGGGTAATCCCAGCGCGCTGGGTGGGACAGCCAGGTGCCCCGGGACCATTCGGAGGCCTCACCCCGGGCTTGGATTGGCCCCAAAAAGCAGAATCGGGGTTTGCACTGGGGCGGGGCGGGGGGGGGGGGCAGGCCAAGGCTTCTGCAAAGGAGGATCCACAGCCTAGCACGTTGGGCCCTGCCCCCAGGCCCAAGTACGCTCTCCTGGATGAATGCACCAGCGCCGTGAGCATCGATGTGGAAGGCAAGATCTTCCAGGCGGCCAAGGACGCTGGCATTGCGCTGCTCTCCATCACCCACCGGCCCTCCCTGTGGTAGGTGCCCTCCCTTCCCTCCTGCATTCGGCACCCCCGGGGACATGGCAGTGGGGCGGGAGGAGGGTGCCAAGTGTCTCCTGCCGAACAGCCTCCGCCCCCGTCCCTCTCCCGGCCTAGGAAGTACCACACGCACTTGCTGCAGTTTGATGGGGAGGGTGGCTGGAAGTTCGAGAAGCTAGACTCCGCCGCTCGCCTGAGCCTGACTGAGGAGAAGCAGCGGCTTGAGCAGCAGCTGGCCGGCATTCCCAAGATGCAGCGGCGCCTCCAGGAGCTCTGCCAGATCCTGGGCCAGGGCTCTGGGGTCCTCCAGGGTGCCGCCTCTCCCTGAGCCCCGGGACCACGTGGAGGAAACAGCAGCACCCGGCCGCTCACCCCTCCAGCCAGCCCTGCCGCAGGCCCACCCCGCATGCCTTTCCCTCCCGGGCCTCCTGGCCGCCAGCGAAAGCACGCACCTGTCCCTGCGCCCCCTTCCCCGGGCCGGGCGGGTGGTCCTTTCTTCTCTTCCAGGAGGGGGTGGGGGTGGAGGTGACACCCCCAGCTCGCACTGCCGGCCAGACTGTGCAGAGCCTGGCATTTGCGGGGCCCTGCCCTCCTGACACCGTGGTCCCCCTTATTCCCTCTTCAGTCCCTCGGAGACCCCACGAGGTCCCCCCGGATGGCCCACCGAGGCTCCCATCCCACGGGATGCCCTTCCTGCCATAGGAACGGGCGAATGGGGCCCACAGCCGGAAGGGGCCCCCAGTGTGAACCCCTTCTCCCCACCAGTTGTTTCCAGGAGCCCTTGGGAGGAAGCGCACAGTATTTCTTAGCAAGCGATGACAAGAATGTGGTCCCTGTCCTCCTCGGCCCCTAGCCTTCTTTCCTTCTACAAGCTAATTTATTGGATCCCTGTTTGTAGCCATCTCGATTGCCAACATGGGCACCCTGCCAGCAGCGCGGGCGGCCCGGGCCACGGTCCTTCCGCAGGTGGCCTAGCCATTGAGCCAGCCCCCAGAGGCCCTGTGCCCCACCAGCCCACACTGCCGGCCACCTCCGGGGGGGGGTGGGGGTTGCAGACCAACTGAATGGGGGATGACTGCTGGGGCTGCCGGGCATGAGGGCACCTCTGTGCCCAGCTCAGTGCCAAAGAGGGGTCAGCCAGGGGAGCTGTCTCTGCAAAGCCAGCACCCACCCAAGAGGGAGACCCCACCACAGCCACCACCGCATGTGCCTTTCCAGGCCCTCAGCCCTCTGGCCGGGGAGCCTCCCTCAATCCCTCAGTAAAAGCCTCCCACGGAAAGTGCAGTGGTGTCGCCTAGCCTCTTTGTGCGGCAGGGCTTGGGGGAGAGGTGGAGCGGGCATCAGGTCGCCTGGGCTCGAAGAATAAACTTGACCCCCACCCAAACGCACAGCTCGGCGTAGTCTCCTGGGGACATGCCGAGGAGGGAGATTTAGCAACATCTCCCAGACATACTGGCTGAGCGCCAACCGGAGTGCGGTGCAATCCCGGCCTCACAGCGCTGGGGTGGAGGGGAGGGGACTGACGCCCAATCCCTGCAAAGTGGGCAGAGGGAGGGGGCCACAGAGGAGGAAGCGTCCCGACGCTGCTGGCCTCCGGGCGGCAGGGAAAAGACGGTTCCAGACCTTCTAGGAGGAGGGAAGGCTGGTGCAAAAGCCCAGAGGTGAATCAGGAGCCAGACGCGGGACGTCCACGTGATGCAGAGGGCAGAGGGAGGGAGGGGCTGGGGCCACGCTGGGGAGCCTGGACTTACCTCGGCGGCTACGACGAGAAGAAGCCAGCAAAGGGTTTTCAGCAGGAGAGAGGGAGGCGACCCGCAGCTCCGCTTATGGCAGGTGTGTGGAGGGCTGTTTGGAAGGAGGCAAGAGCGCGCAGCTTGGTCCCCGTCCCCTGCGGGTAGCAAGGGAAATGGGGCTCCCATACCACCCAGCACGTCCACTCCTGGCTTAAAGCCGAGCCAGCTGAAAACAGATGTTCAATCAAACACTTAGATGTGAACGTTCATAGCAGTGGTGTTGATGATACTCTGCAAGCAGAAACAACCCAGAAGCCCATCAACATGAACGCACACAGAATGCGGTCTGTCCGGGCGACGGCGGCGACTCGGCCGGCACGAGAATGCAGTTCACAATACCTGCCACAACAGGACCTGGAGGGCGGGGTGGAGTGAGAGCAGCCGGACACAGAAGCCCGCATGGTGCGTGATTTCACGGATGGGAAATGTCCAGAACGGGCAAATCAGCATGAGCCGAGCAGCGGTGACGGGTGGGTGCCAGCTGCGGCCGGGGAGGTAGAAATGGAGGGACTGGGCGTGGGAACATGGGCTTTCTTTGGAGTGGGTTCTGGAACTGTAGAGGTGATGGTCACTGTACCGAAGTGCCACTGTACTGTGCCCTTTAAAAGGCTTAATTGTAGGTCATGTGAATTTCACCTCAGAAAATAGATCTGTAGATAATACGTGATAGATACATTGATTGATTGATGATAACTGGATGATGCATGATGATAGGTATGAGATGATATATACAGAGATGATGGATGATAGATAAAGGTAAAAGCCTTAAAGCACCACTTTAAGCAGCCCAGGCAAGATGCTGACGCTTCAGATCCTGGATATGTAAGCGAGATGCATCCAGAAGAAAGCATGGGGGGGGGGGGGGATCAGACTCAGGGGAGAGCAGACAGGGATAGTCAAGATGACCCGCAGGCTCCTGGCTGGCGTGTGGCCAGGTGGTGATGGCAGCCTTCGCTGAAGAGGGCAGGTGTGGCGGTGAAGATGCGAGAGCACGGGGAGGCTTTCACTACGGTTGGTAGCTCAAAGAGACAAACTTGTGGGACTGAGGGGTGCCTGGGTGGCTCAGTCCACCAAGCTCTGACTTCGGCTCAGGTCATGATCTCATGGTTCTACCATGGGTTCTAGCCCCACATCGGGCTCTGTGCTGTCGGCACAGAGTCTTGAGTTCTCAATGTCCCCTCTCTGTCTCTCCATCTCTCTGTCTGTCTCTGTCTCTCTCTCAAAATAAACAAACATTAAAGAAAGAACTTGTAATGCTATAGGAAAATTGAACACGCTTCATTAATGG